ATGTACATACCAATTGTGCGATAGCACACTTGTGCCAGCTCACTGTGCTGACTCATTAGAATGAGTTGGAGTTACTGAGTCAGCACACCAAAATTTACAGAGTTACCCACCCTTAATATTCTGGCGAAATCCACAATAAAGTCTAAATTTTTGAACTTTGGTTTTAATATAGGCACGCCCATTTCTAGAATAGTCTTTAATTGAAAAAGTTGTGGAACATGTGTTGTTAACGAAACGATATTCTGCCGAAATTTTAAATTTACTGGTCTTCACTATGCAAATCAACTTCAAAAAGTTCAACTGTTAATAGCTAATTTAGCTTTAGGACAATATTGACCATCTTATATATAGAAGTGTTGAAAACGACGTTAAGATGAAGTCTTTACCATGGGCAGAACCCGAGATATAACGATTAGCAGAAGTACACGATTAGTCAGAATCGCGAAAAAATGCAAATTTTGACAAATCATATCTCCAAAGAGAAAAGCGAAAAAAAGACGTGAGTACTAGGTACTCATGAAATTTGATGAGTAAACATATGCGAACGGAAAAGCATAAAAGTACGTTTACATATAAACATAATCTCAATCAAAGCTCGTTAGCTGTCAAATTGGTTGTGCTTGTTATTCACACAACTCGAGGAAAAGTTAAACTTCTTCTCTGCTATATTGTGCTATTTAAATATATTTTAACTAAATATTTTATTAAAAATACCTTTACAAACCTCTTTTCCTTACTAGCGCCAATTTTTGTTTACTTTTACATTTGATATTCCTCCTCTTCTTCGCAAATGTAATCGATAAAACTAGGTTGGACACCAAAAAGTTATCGGTTTAATCTGGGATAATTTTATAATTTTAATTTTGTATGGCTTCTTCTTCTTATTTGGCACTACAACCGTTTGTCGGTTTGGGCCGAGACCAAAAAGCTTCTCCAATTGCTTCTCTCCTGCGCGAATTTGCGCCAGGTGGTTATCCCGAGCGCAGACAGGTCCTTCTGCACCTGGTCCTTCCATTTCGTTCGTGGGCAGCCTTGCTTTTGTTGTCCACCCATGGGTGCGGAGTCGAAGGATCTTTTCACCGGAGAGTCGTCATCCATGCGTACAACATGTCCAAGCCAACGCAATCGCAGTATTTTTATGCGCTTAACTATGTCCATGTCGTTAAAAAGCTCATACAGTTCGTCATTCCATCTTCTCCGATATCCGCCATCCACGAAAACAGGGCCGTAGATTTTACCCCGAAAGCCCCGAAAGCCTTCTCATCTATGTTCGACATCGTCCAAGATTCTGCGCCATATAAAAGGACGGGCATGATGAGAGATTTGTAGAGCGTGAGTTTCGTTCGTCGAGAGAGGGCTCTGCTTTTCAATTGCCTACCGAGCCCAAAGTAGCACCTGTTGGCAAGAGTTATTCTTCGCTTGATCTCCAGGCTGACGTTGTTGGTGGTGTTTATGCTGGATCCTAGGTAGACAAAGTCCTTCACTACTTCAAAGTTATATCTTCCAACAGTGACGTGTGTTCCGTAGCGCGTGGACTCTTTATATGTTGCCAGGAGGTACTTTGTCTTTCCCTCGTTCACCGCTAGACCAACCTCTTTAGCTTCTTTTTCTAAACTGGAAAATGCTGCGGTTACGCCCCTTTGTTTCAGACCTACGATATCGATATCATCTGCATACACCAGCAGCATCGTTCTTTTGCTATATATGGTGCTGCTGCAATTCAGATTGGCAGCGCTTATTACGCTAGTCGCACGAGAGTGAATCGCCTTGTCTAAAACCTTGTTTGGTCTCAAATGGCGCGGAGAGGTCCTTCCCAATTTGGACGTAGCTGAAGTTTGTGCTCAACGTCATTCTACATAGCCGTATTAGTTTTGCGGGGACCACAAATTTGGACATGGCGTCGTACAGGCAGCTCCTCTTCGTTCTATCAAAAGCAGCTTTAAAGTCAACAAAAAGATGGTGTGTGTCGATTTGCTAATCTAGTGTCTTCTCCAGGATTTGACGTGCTGTGAAAATCTTGCCAATGGTGGACTTACCAGGTCTGAAGCCACATTGATAAGGTCCAATCAGCTGGTTCATGAACGGCTTCAGTCTTTCACACAGTATCGTCGACAAGACCTTGTATGCAATATTAAGAAGGCTTATTCCGCGATAATTGGTGCAAACGGCGGGATCTCCCTTCTTGTGGATTGGGCAAAGTACACTGAGATTCCATTCTTCGGGCATGTATTCATCAGACCAAATCCCGCTTAAAAGCTGGTACATACGCCCCACCAACTCTTCGCCACCGGCTTTGAACAGCTCAGCCGGTATACCGTTAGCTCCGGGGGATTTGTTGTTCTTAAGTCGCTTTATTGCTGTTCTCACCTCGTCTTGGTCCGGTTGAGGGACGTGAGCTTCGTCCCTATACATTGGTTCGGGTTCTCCTTCATCAAACGCGCCATCTGTTTCGCCATTTAAAAGCAATGAAAATGGTTCCCTCCATATCTAAAGTGTACTATGGGCATCTGTTACCAGGTTTCCATCTTGTATGGCTTACCTAATCTAATTACAGATTAGGGAATTAAGCTCGAAAATATGGATAATCTGTTTATATGTAAAGCTATTCTTAGGCGATTCAGTTACATACATACACATGTAGGTTAGGTTAGAAATTAAACATTAATTTCACTTATTTTTATTCATTTTGCTGATTTAATTTGTTTTAAGCTTATAGTTTGAGCATTTCTATTTATTTATATTCCTAAATTTAGTTTTTCTTTTCGGAATATAATCTGTGGTTAATGTAAATGAGAGCGATTTTTGGAGAGTTGTATAGAGATTGAAGTTGCTTTTTTATTTGTTCCGTACGTGTTGCTGTTACTCACTTTTTACTCTCACTTCAGAGAGTGATTTTGCTGTTTGACCTTTTTCCAGGATTTTACACGAAAAGTATTGGATCAGAGCTATTATATCATCCATACAAATGTATATTATACATACATTCATCAGTTATCAACTGTCCCAGTTAAAATGACTTCAGCATTTCTTTAAATTTAAAATAGACTACCAAACCTATGCCTAAAACCATCTACGAATATCAAAACCAGTTGCACCAAATGAGTTCATACATACATATGTATGTACATGCACACATAAGTATGTATACATATAGGTACACAGCCGTATGCTTGTGCGGAGTTTGCACAATCGGAAGTAATAATCAATTGTACCGCATTTCCTGTTACTATGCATATGCCTAAATGTGTGCAACCATTTAAAATAGCAAGTAAATACAGGGTGCTTCTAATGAAATTAAAAATTTTATGCCGAAATACACATGCTAAGTCCCAATTGAATGTGAAATAACACAAATTTGCTTTATTTCACTTCTCGTTGAGCAACAAGACCAACTTTTATACTTAACAATTTGAGTAATAAAGCAAACTAGTGCACATATGTAGGTAGTCAGCTAGTTATATTTGACAAAAAGTAGTACATGAACAAGTTAAATGGACGGATTTGTAAGTATACAATTTTGAAAGTGCCCGGCGTCGCGGCGGTCCGCGTTCGCGCGCCAGCCCGCGCCGCGTTCGACGTCGCGCTCGCGTCCCCCGCCCCTCCCCCCCTTTCGCAATTATGTACTGGTGGCATTATAACCGTTTAGAAAAAGGAAAAATTATAAAATAACACCAGATCACTTCTGAAACTGCTTTTTAATGTCCAAGTAATGCGAATTATTGTGTATGGTGTTATTGCATGCTGCATCCCACCCATAGTGGAATTTACCAGGTGTCACTGCTTTATTTGAAAATTTGCCTATAAAATGTGACTATAAGGCAGCCGAATGTCAGAAAATAAAGCGAGAAAGCCGTTTTATTACTTCATCTGTTTATTGCGACATGGTTCTATGCAAACATTTTAAGGTTTTCCAGCAATGTTTTTAACAACATATTAAAAAGCATGCAGAAAAAATTCGTAAAAAAGCGCTATGTCCAATATGCGGAGCAGTTTTTTAAGACGATGCTCTTCCTATAATTTGTTAGACTTTTCATAAGTAAAAACATTTTGTGAATATTGCCTTCTTCATATGAATTATATCACATTTTTTGTTTAATTCAAGGCCTATCAAACAGGTTTAGAGCATTTGAGCAAAAACAACATTTGCCTGTATTTTGTTGTTACTTCTGGTATCGAAGGTGCCAAAAACTGTTCTGATTTTTTTCTTCTACATCAAAGCGTGCCATGCAAAATACGAAAAAGGTAAAAAATTTAAATTGAAAAAATGAAAATTGTTGCAAATTTCTTTCTTAGTAAATTTGTTCGCTTCTCGAAGCATTGATCCACCATCCTGTGCCAGGCCCAGTAATCAGCGGTTGTGCTGCTGAGTTGGGCGAGCTTTCCAAAAGTTGCTATTTAATCGCTGGTTTTGTTTGGAAAATGGTTCACATGCAAATAGATTTTAACAATTTAGAATTTTTGTGAGAAAAAATGTAAAATATTTGACATTTTCGAGAACTAATAATTTGAAAAAAATCAAATCAGCTGCTGTACTGATATTACCTGTTCAATGTGCCTTGGTTTAGTTGTATTTTTGGAATAAACAAAGTTCTTTTTCCTTCTGTCAGTAAACTTTTTTTTTACAAATAGTATAAATAAGCAATGGGAAATAAGGCAAAATTTGTTTTATTTCCAACCTTTGTTGGAAATAAAGCAAAACTCAGATTTTGGTTTTATTTCCCATTTAAAAGTGAAATAAATCAAATTTTGCGTTATTGCCGTTTTTGTAATTTAACCCCCCCGCCCCCCCTCGAACACGTGTTAGCTTATTTCATGTATGGAACCCATAAACAAAATTTGAAGCCAATCGAATGTGTGACACCAAATTTGGTGTCCGATATGAAAAAGAATGTCTCAAATATAACTGTCCTATTTAATACGTATGTACCAAACATGATGCTTTTCTTATGAATGATAAAAAAGTTAACTTTTTTCTCACTAAAATTGGTTTTATCTTACAGATTAGCCACCTATCGCTTGTGCAGAATTGAGTGGTCAAAAGACTTCAGCTTTATCAAACTGCATAGCACCAAAAGGCGCGGTAAGTTTAACAATTTGTTAGAAGGAAATATTACACTGGAAGTACCTTTGAATACACGACATCGCGGCTGCATTAAGTATACACTCAATGAAACAAAGAAACTAGACAAAGGCAGCATCCATGTTAGTTACAATGAAAAGTTGGTGGTTCATGGAACATATCAGCGTGAAGTTCAAAATTATGATGTTTTAAAAGAAACAACCGATATTATAATAGATAACATTTTTAAGCCAATAGGAATCCATTTTGTGAATAGCTCTGATATGCGTGACATTGATAAGATTTTCAGCGTAAGACACATAGAACTTTTTGACTTACATAACTCAAAATTTATCAACTTGACATGTGAGTTATATGTCACCACATCGGAAGCTGAGAAAGAAGTCAAATTGGTGGCTATTCATCCGAATCGGACCGTTATTGTAACAACAAGTTTTAAAACGCCAAACCCTCAAACAATCAATCATCGAGGTAAATTAGAACTATCTAAAACTGCTTGGATTGAATACAACTTAGTAATTGGAAACAATAACACGGTAGAGTAAAATTTTGTATTGTTAAATTTTTTTACTATAATTCTTCTTATTATTTAAGGATAATAATGAAATTCGAAATTTTGTTGCCAACTTAACATATCCCAAGCGGAGCATATCTATGAACGGCTTTTACTTAACGACTTCCAATGCTTTTAATTCCAACGTATCGTTTGAATGGTCTGAAGGCGACAATGATAATACAAGAGCAGTGTGGACAAGTATTTTGTGCCAAACAGAAGCACTAGGGCCAGAAGACAATGACAATAAAACCATAATGTTGGTCCTAGGACATCGTCTTTTAGAAAGAGATATAAAACTAAAAGGTTCTTTCTATCGTGGCATCAAGGAGTTATTCAAGGTCAATGTACTAATAGTCTATTCTTACGAGATGGATCATTTGATTGTAATCAACGCTGTACTTAAGGATTTACGCGACGGACTTGATCTTGAAAAATACGGATTGGAATTTTTAACTTATCACAAGGCGTCCGAATTAGACGTACAATTGAATGGTTCTGCCACTGCAAGAACTTCTTATTTCAAAATACAAACCAAATCATTATACAAGAGAGATTATTTTCCAGCGAAACATGGATTATTTTTGATTTTACTAGATTCTCATAACAAGGAAATTGAATACATGGTGAGTAAATGATTTACAAACACAAAAATATATACATTAGGGATGTTGCGAATGTGGAATTTTAGACATCCGCAGATGCGAATGCGAATAATTTAGGTGGTTAAATTAGGTGATTTAGGTAAATAAAAAATGGAAAGATTAATAATTTTTAATAATCTGCGTTATCCTTAGTTTTGCCCGAAAAAAAATTCACCCGAGAATTTGTATTCCGCCCATAGTAAATATGTACATGAAAACCAAAAGTGAAAAGTGAACCGGTTCGGGGAAAATTAAACTCATGATAAGACTAAATGTTTTTTTAGTACTTGAATTTAAAAATTGGAACATTGTACTTAATAAAAACTTTTTGGAGGGTCGTAAATCAAACCTGCGCCACTATATAACTACTCGCTCGAGGCGACAAACTTGCAAAACTTCAAACTTGGCAAAATTTTAAATTCTTTTCGATTGACACTGCACCAGTTGAGAGGACTTTCAGTTATATTTATTTATTTTTTATGGGGTGCAATAACTACTTTTTGAGAATTTCATCGGCGCTGCAAATGTCGGATGTATCGTCCTGACTTTCATCTTCACAATCTAGCATCATGGCACAATCGTTGTTTAAACACCGTTTTTTTTTCGAAAGAATTCTTCATTCTCATTCTTTTGGTTGTTTCGGAATTTGTCACGTCATCAAAGTTTTTCGATTTTAGTTTTAGTAACTCATTTTTAATGCTTTCTTCTGTGACTGGTTAGATATACGTCTGTGCACTTGCACAATATTCCAGGGACCGAAAATAACAGTTATCTTTTTCCGAGTTATATTTGGCCTAATATTTTTTATGTTGAAATAAACGTCCTATCCGGATAATAAAGAATCCGCTTATCCAAATTGAAAAAATTTGGTATCATATGAAAGAGGACTGAGATAGCTTTTAAACAGAAATAACGAATGAAGGTTACCACCTCTATATATATTTTTTTACAATTTAATACTAAAGAAATTCATGTAAATACATACCTGCCCCAATGTTTGTTCTATGATAATTAATTAACATTTTTTATTGAAATATTTTTCAATGTGTGGCTTTCCTCTTTTAGACATTTTAGTTCTAAAGCTATCTAAGTTCTCTTTCATGGCATACCAAACTTGTTTAATTTGGATAAGCGGTTTCTTTATTATCCGGAAAGTACTTTTATTTCGAAATAAAAAATAGTTGGCCAAGCTTAATTGGTAAAAAAAAAAAATAACTGTAATTTTCGGTCCCTTCAATGTTCGCATTCGCAAAAGATCCGCATTGATTTTTGCGAATGCGAAAGCGAATGCGAATGTTAAAATTAATGCGGAAGCTCCGCGGTTGCGAATGCGAATGCGAATATTCGCAACAACCCTGATATACATATGTACACTAGGGTGGTTAAAAAAAATGCGAAGGAAAAACAAAATTTTGGAAATTTTCCGCTGCCATATCCAGAATTACAGAAAATGAAAAAGGACGCCATTGATTTCGGTTAATATTTAATCGTTCCGCAGGGGCTTTGAAATTTTCCATGAGTTTGCATTAGGAAAATACTATCTTTCAGAGAATTGCTATAAAAACGTATAACAAGTAACTTTTGATCGAATCTTCAAAAAACCATGAAAAGCACGATGTATATTTATCATTATTTATTTATTTATTTATTTAGTCTACAGAAAAATGTTTTCTTACAGACAGTTGAGATAAAAAGATTTAGAATATTTAAGTATGTGTGATACATTACAGAGTGAAATAATTATAAATATTAACTTGTAAAGATAACAATGATATTCAATAGCAATTTGGGTAGCTGGCGAGGCCTTGTCTCCAGTCTACTTTTGTGTGCGGCGGGCGGAAAGACCTAGTTTCCGCTCCGCCCTGTTTACAGGCCGTTGATCATGGTNCACCAAGAAAGCGACTGTCGATGATAAACAAAGGTGTGTGTAAAGCGCGAAAGAAAGCAAAATGAACAAACAAATGCGATATTCCTTACACTCTCACGCAAAAGCAACAATAATGCACCAAAACAGGCAAATATGCACGAAGGCCGACTAAATAAAACTTTTCAATCAACGCACTTTATGACTAAATCAAGTCAATTTATTGGAATTTGGCTTCAGTAAACTTTTTACGGTGTGAATAACACAAATTAGAACTGCTTAGCACTTTGTAAACGAGTTAAACTTTGGAAATTCTTTCAAGCGAAAGTTTAAGTGACCGCACAGTACGAACGTTGCCAGTTAAAAAATTACTTTTTGATGATAACCGATAACTTCATTTCTTATATACAAAAATTAGTTTTTTTATATGTTTGTAACCACATCACGCACGAACAACTGAAAAAATCCTTAAGGGTTTTTAAGAAATCAGCTTGCTTAAACTTTGTGGTTGTCGGCGAGTGCGCGATAGCAACAACAAATGCCTATTTCCTCGAATTAAATAACGAACGATGCGCGCTTTCTCGATGATACTTTACACGAGATTTATTTCTTTTCAATTTCATCTCACTTAGCTTGCGACCTAAAACTAACGGCTTAGGGTAGTTGTTAATATGTATGTACATACATAAGAAGTATATGAGTTCAACGGCTTGAAGAGATTATATATGATAATAATGTAAGTATGCATGTATAAATATATAAATAAGGTAAGTATAGAGTAAATAGGTAGTTGAATATAAATCGGGTAAGTATATGTGTAAGAGGTAAGTATGTTAGACAATAGGTTTAATTCGTAAATGAGGTAAGTATAATTAATTTAATTTCGCAATATATTTATGTTTATATAACTAATTTTTAATAATAAATTCAAAAACTAGAAAATCTGACGCAACAACGGCCACCTTAACAGGATCAGGATCCTTCAACTTTAAAGGGTAGTGCGGCGAGTTTGTGAATTGGTTACGATGTCTGCGACTCGAACTTTGCCGTCTAGCCCTGGAACGATTGCGGAGACGCGGCCGAGCACCCGCTGCTGAGGTGGCATGTTGTCCTCCTGAACCAAGACCCTGAATGCCCGTGAGGTAATTCTTGGACCACTGCCGCCAAAACTATTGCTTGAGACACCAAACAAGTTGCCATCTGTCGCAGCAATACATTGGGTCCGTTGGCACCTGCGCTGTTGGTAGCGCCCGCAGTGGACATCCAATTAGCAGATGCGCTGGTGTTAGCGTCTCACCGTCATTGGGGTCCTGGCTCATTGGTGTGAGTGTTGGTGTGAGGGTTTGGCGGACTTCACTGCCGCTTCCCACTGCCCGCCGACGTACGGCGCCCTGGGTGGTATAAAGTTGAAGCTGAATCCTTCCGTCGCCGCGCATTTCTCTACCTCTGGGTGATGGGCTAGGAACGCGTCTCTCAGTTCGCGCAGCTTGCGGTCGGCGCCGACGAAATCGGTGGCGTTGTCGCTGTATACCTTCTTCGACATTGGCGGACTTCACTTCCGCTTCCCACAACCCGCCGAAGTGCGACACCCTGGGTGGTATAAAGTCGAAGCTGAATCCTTCGGTTCCCGCGTATTTCTCTACCTCTGGGTGATGGGCTAGGAATGCGTCTCTCAGTTCGCGCAGCGTGCGGTCGGCGCCGACGAAATTGGTGGCATTGTCGCTGTATATCTTCTTCGGCATCCCTCGGCGTAAAATGAACCTTTTTAGGGCGAAAATAAAACAATTAGAAGACAAGTCTGTCACTAGCTCTAAAGGCAGTGCTTTGGAAGTGAAAGTTTTGAAATTTCTTCGCCAAATTCTGTGTGTTGAACCACCTGGACAATTTTGAGAAAACTCAAGTTTAATTCATCCGCCGTCAGTTCTTTTGTGAATTTTGATGTTGGGTTCTTTATGCGTCTGATCCACCTCAACAGATATTCTTTTTTCATATTGTTTTTCATATCGGACCTCAAATTTGGTGTCACACTTTCGATTGGCTCCAAATTTTTTTATGGGTTCTATACATGAAATAAGCTAATACGTGTTCCAGGAATATTTATTTTTCACTTTTTTCTTTGGAGATATGATCTGTCAAAGTTTGCATTTTTCCGTGGTTCTGGAAGAAAAACAAATTCCTCAAACACGTGCTAGCTTATTTCATGTATAGAACCCACAAAAAAAATTTCAAGCGAATCGGGGACACGACATATTTTTTTTAAGAAATCCGTCCGACTAAAAAAGAATGGCTCATATGCGACAATATGAAGCTACTTTTTATGAAAAGGGAACTTTTCGATAAGATCCATGATCGAGTTGCGCTTAGCAGTCTGAATAATCAAAACAGTTCCATTTTTCTTCTTCTCTAGTGCTTCGTTTTCTGGAGAAAAATGAAAGCGGGTGTTTGTGGGCCATAAAGCGGGGCCTTCTAGGAGGAACTTGGACTAGGGGACACTTCATCCGCAGGATTTTGTTTCGTTGGCACGTGTCGCCAAGTACCATTATCAGTTAACTGTTGGATTTCGGAAACTCTATTTGCAACAAAGGTCTGCAATGCAGATGGATGTTTTTTGATCCAGCGCAAAACGATTTCCGAGTCTGTCCAGAAATTTATGTTCTCAATTGGTCGCCTCAACATTGGCTCAATTTTCGACCATAGTTTGGCCAGAAGATGGGCTGCCGAGAGCTCTAAACGCGGAAGAGATTTAGCGGAGCCACTCTAGACTTTGCAGTAAGCAGCGTGCATTTTGTATCACTAGAGGATGTGGAACGTATATATACACAGCAGCCGTACGCTCTTATTGAGGCATCGACAAAGCCATAAACTTGACATCTTGCACTCGACTCAGTATTAACTTAACGAGGAATGTTTATCGACGAGAGCTGCAGTAAATTGGCTTTGAGATTTTGCCAGCTAGTATCAAGGCGCGACGGAATCGACTCATCCCAATCTAGCTTTTGGATGCAAAGCTATCGCAATAAGATTTTTGCTTTGGTCCCTAGAGGGGCAAGTAAACCAAGAGGATCGAAAAGGCGTGCCGAGATTGATAAGATGTTTCGTTTTGTGGCTCGTAGATCTT